GGTTGCAGCCATCATTGTTGTTTGGCGGGTCCGGGCTGGGGATTCGAACCCACCACCTTAGGTGTACGTGGCTGGCGCCTTAGCCGGCTGAGCTATAGGCGCCGAGCCCCCAGCTACTTTTTGTTGCAGTTTGGCCAGGGCAGGGTTCAAACCTGCCACCCTCAGTATATGGGGCCAGTGCCCTACTCACTGAGCCACAGGGGCCACCCAAGTTTTATTATCTTATTTAAAACTTTTCAAAACTGACCAAGTTGGCATTAGGATATTGTACATAAAATTGATTTCTCTGAGTTGTACAGTCATGTCTGTTTTAAAGATCCAAAAAATTTAACCAAACTTCCAACAATACTTTTAAAATTACTTACACGTGGCTACACTTGGTGGCTTACACCTGTGCTATCCTAGTACTCTGGGAGGCCAAGGCCAGAGAATCACTTGAGTTTAATAGTTCAAGACTATCCCAAGCAGCTCAGTACCTACAGCTCAATGGCTAGGGCACTAGCCACATACATCGGAGCTGGCGCGTTCAAATCTAGCCTGGGCCTGCCAAACAACAATGACAACACCAACCAAAAAAACAGCCAGGTATTGTGGTGGGTGCCTGTAGCCCAGCTACTCAGGAGGCTGAGGCAAGACAATCACTTACGCCCAAGAGTTTGAGGTTGCTGTGAGCTGTGACTCCATCACACTCTACCCAGAGCCACATAGTGAGACTCTGTCTCAAAAAAAAAAAAAACTATCCTGAGCAAGAGTAAGACTCCCATCTCTACTAAAAATAGAAAAAAAAATTAGCCTGGTGTCGTGGTAAGTGCCTATAGTCCCAGCTACTCGGGAGGCTAAGGCAGAACAATCACTTGAACCCAGGAGTTTGAGGCTGTGAGCAAGGCTGATGCCGAGTTATTTGAGATAGTAAAACTCTTGTCTCAAGAAAAAAAAACAATCACTTAAACCTGCCAGGCACTGTGGCTCATACCTGTAATCCTAGCACCTCAAGAGGGTGAAACCAGAAACTTGAGACCAACATGAGCAGCACAGTGAGACCCTGGTCTCTACAAAAAGCAGAAAATATTAGCTAGATGTCTTGGTGCTTGCCTGTAGTCCTGTTTACTCAGGAGGCTGAGACGGTAGGATTGCTTAATCCCAAAAGTTTGAGGCTACAGTGCCACTGTACTATAGCCTGGGTAACATTGTCTCAAAATACATACATGAAAATTAAAATTAAAATTAAAAAATAAATTTACTTAAACAATGTTAGTTGTAAGATAAACTCACATTAAAAAAAAAAAAAGAGTAAAGAAAAAAGAATAAGGCAGCACCCGTAGCTCAGTGGGTAGGGCGCCAGCCACACACACCCAGGTTGGCAGCTAACCAACTAAACAATGACAACTGCACAAAAATAAAAAAGCCAGGTGCTGTGGCTGGTGACTATAGTCCCAGCTACTTGGGAGGCTGAGGCAAGAAGATCATGTAAGCCCAAGAGTTAGAGCTTGCTGTGAGCTGTGATGCTATGGCACTCTATCAAGGGCAACAAAGTGAGACTCTGTCTCAAAAAAAAAATAATAACAAAATGAGTCTCCAAAGTCAACTGCCATAAATGTTCTATGTTTTTGTTCTACTGATAAAGAGAAAGAAATCAGGCAATTAAACAAATCCAGAATGTAGAACATTTTATAAACAAGTGGTCTGGCTCGGCGCTTGTGGCTCAAGTGGCTAAGGTGCCAGCCACATACAACTAAGGTGGAGGGTTCGAATACAGGCTGGGCTGCCAAAACAACAATGACGGCTGCAACCAAAAAATAGCCAGGCATTGTGGTGGGGGCCTGTGGTCCCAGCTACTTGGGAGGCTGAGGCAGGAGGCTCCCTTGAGCCCGGGACTTGGAGGTTGCTGTGAGCTGTGGTGCCACGGCACTCTACCCAGGAGGATAGCTTGAGGCTCTGTCTCAAAACAAACAAACAAAAAAAAACAATTGGTCTGGTGTGTTTAAAAAGTCAAATGTAATAGGGAAGCAAAAAGGTAGGTGGACAATTCTAGGCTGAAAGAAACAAAGACAAATAACAGCCAAATACAAGCTGTAAATGCTGATTTGATCTTGGTTCAAAAACCAAACAGCTATAAAACACTTTGGGGACAACTGAAGAAGAATGAAGGCTCGGCGCCTGTGGCTCAAGTGGCTAAGGCACCAGCCACATACACCTAAGGTGGCGGGTTCGAATCCAGCCCAGGCCTGCCAAACAACAATGACAGCTGCAACCAAAAAATAGCCAGGTGTTGTGGCGGGCACCTGTGGTCCCAGCTACTTGGGAGGCTGAGGCAGGAGACTCGCTTGAGCCCAGGAGTTGGAGCTGTGAGCTGTGATGCCATAGCACTCTACCCTGGGGGATAGCTTGAGGCTTGTCTCAAAAAAGAAAGAATTACAATGCCTGCAATTCACTTTTGAATAGGTCAACAAAAATATATACACATTGGCTAGGTGCTGTGGCTCATGGCTGTAATACTAGCACTCTAGGAGGCTGAGGCAGATGGACTGCTTGAGTTCAGGAGTTTGAGACCAGCCTGAGCAAGAACGAGACCCTGTCTCTACTGAAAACAAAACAAAACAAAACAAAAAAACTACCCAAGCATTGTGGTGGGCACCTGTAGTCCCTGCTACTTGGGAGGCTGAAATAGGATCTTTTGAGCCCAAAAGTTTGAGGTTGCTGTGAGCTATGATGATGCCACAGCACTCTACCCAGGGCAAAGGAGTGAGACTTTCTCAAAAAAAAAAAAAATTAAAATAAAAAAATAAATAAAACACACACACACACACACACACACATATATATATACACATATAAATGGCAAAATGTTAAAGTATTTGAATCTAGGTGGAGAGTGTATATGTGCTTATTACATTGTTTTAATTACTGGATATGTTTAGAAATTTTTCAAAATAAAAAATAAGTAATTAACCTAATGATTTAGGATCACATACTCACATTTATTGCCTCGAACAGCATAAGCCAGCTTTAGTTCAGGGTAAAATTTGCCCATCTGTTCAATTACTTTTCCTGTTTGAAGGGCAAGTTCATATGTTGGAGAGAGGCACAGACACTGGCAGGGAGAGAATGCAGAATGAGAATTCAAGATTGACAGGTCTTTTACAAAGGGGAATTACCAATAGGACTCGGTCATTCCTCCAGTGGAGGCTAAAGGAAATAATATGTAATTAAAGTATATACCATTTAAGGGTGGCGCCCGTAGCTCAGTCAGCAGGGCACCGGCCACATACCCTTAGGGTGGTAGGATTGAGCACTGGCCCAGGCCTGCTAAGCAACAATGACAACTGCAAACAAAAAATAGCCGGGCGTTGTGGCAGGCGCCTGTAGTCCCAGCTACTCGGGAGGCTGAGGCAAGAGAATCACTTAAGCCCAAGAGTTTGAGGTTGCTGTGAGCTGTGATGCCACGGCACTCTACCCAGAGCAACAGCTTGAGACTGTCTAAAAAAAAAAAAAAAAAATTAAAATAACGTATATACCATTTAATTCTTTAAGCTACAGAGTTATAAGCTAGAATTCTTAAGGGTCAGAACTCAGGCTGGGTAAGGATACTTGAAAACAGTTATTGGAATAGAAAAACCAACCAATGAACAAGGATCTGAAATTTGGAGATTACCTTCCTATACATTTACTCAGAAAGTTCTCAGAACTTTCTAGTGGATGACAGTTGCAGAAAAAATAGGTTTTTCCTGCAAGTAAAGGAGCCAAGTCTATCAGCACTATCCCACTGGCAAACCATGGAAAAGGAAAAAGGATTTTTATTGCTACTGGAAGATCAACCATATTGTTTATGTAAATGTGAGAAGTTCTAGTTTGTGTAAATAGTTATACATAGCTTGGCTTTAATCCATCACCTGCTAGTCCTTTGTATCTATGCATTAGTAGAAAACTCAGATTCGCTGCATCCTTACCTGGGGGAATTTGTTTACAGGTTCCACTTGGCTGAGCATGGCCAACACAAAGGCAGCAGTTTTACCAGTACCAGACTGAGACTGGGCAATTAAGTTCTGAGGGCTGTACAAGGAAACAAACTATTTAGGACCTTAAATCTCAGTAAACTTTTAGTTTATGAAAATAGAGAATAAAGCTTAAAAAATGAATATTCAAAATATATTTATAAAAGGAAACCTTGGGTCTTTCATGTCCTATGTCCTCCCTTCGAAGATGACAAAGAAAAGAATGAACAGTGGTCATCCAAAAAGGGCCCTGCGGCCATGCACAGCCTATTTGCTGCATGAATTGCACCCAAAGTGTGCCTAAAGACAAAGCTATAAAGAAGTTTGGGCTCGGCACCTATAGCTCAACTGGCTGAGGCGTCAGCCACGTACACCTAAGGTGACGGGTTCGAATCCCCAGCCCGGACCCGCCAAACAACAATGACGGCTGCAACCAAAAAATAGCCGGGGGCC